TTGGTCTAAGATATTTCAGTGAGGAGATGACAAAAATTAATATAACTGATGCTGATATTCATCTGCCAGCATGGAATGGATCTTCTAGTCAATGAGAACGGATATAGTATATTACTTGGAGAGGGTGACAAGTGATTGTTCATTAGCAGCAGCACTACCCCTAAACTGCTGATTCAATTCATGTGATTGTGCATCTGTAGCTCATTATTAGGGGCCTACTTAAATTGCAAAATCCATGAAATAAACAAAAAAAAATTCTGGCTCCCTAGTGGGAGCAGCAGTCCTCACTGCCAGGAGGTGAAGGTGCTAGCTGGCAGGGCAACACAAAGGGCAGTAGACAAGATGGAGGCTGTCCCCTTGAACCTCTTTCCCCTCCCAGGGCCTCTCTGGCAATCAGCACCAAGGGGAGGGGCTGCACAAAGGGCAACCAGCAATCAAGATGGCAGCTGCGCCCTTGTCCCTCCTCCCACCCCAGGCCTCTCTGCCAGTCAGCATTGAGGGGCAGGGATGTTATAAAATAACCATGGAATTAGAACTTTATTCCATGATCAACCCACCAAAAATAGTATACCCCACCCCATGATTTAGGTGGACACCTACTCATTATGATTTAAGACTCCTCAAAAACATTTCTCTATCAATCACATCAACCTATTCCTCCAAGGGTCACAACATTGACATGTGTGCTACCAGGCTACAGACTGTGACAGGCTTCTGTGCTATCAATTAACTTGAAAGTGATGCCATCTGAAGTTTTATACTCCTGATGGGGTCACCCGTGGCAGCAAGGTTGAGAGAGAGGACTGAAAGGAGTGAAGAACAGCTCTCAGGATCAGAGAAGTTGCACAATTCACTGCACCTAGTGAGATCAGATGTGTAGGAGAGAAGAGCTCATAGATCATGGTAGTGGCTACAACTTTTTTTGGAAAAGAAAAGTTGAAAAAGACAGACACATGGCACTGGTTTCACTATGAAGAACCAGATTGTTACCTCAGATGCTGGAATGTCCAGTTGGCATCAATAAGGGTTTGTCTTTAACTGGCCAACAGATAGCAATGTAACAGTCATGAGTGCATATGCCCCAACCTTTGGTGCAGAAGACAAAAGATTAATTATATTTTAAACTCAACCAAATCCTGTCTTCTGGCTCCAAAGAAGATCATTCTTCTTGGTGATTTCAATGCTAAAGTGGGCAGGGACACCAAGCTATGGAAAGGAAGGGGTGGTGAAAGTAATTTCAAATGAAATTCTTCTCCTGAGTGTTTGGAACATGGTCTCATCATCACAGACTCCTTATTCTGCCAAAGTAACAAATGGAAGTCATCATGGATATGCTACCACTCAGAACGCTGGCTCCTGATTGACTACATCCATAGTGCATGCCCAGGACCATCACAACTAGGACTAGATCTATGATTTGTCAGGCCGTAGCCTCAAACATGGTGTCTCAGCCTGACCATCCCATGGATGCTCATTCCAGCCTGATACCCTACAGCTGGTAACCCAAGCTGGTCAAGGCTGTCTTGAAGCCTCCAGAAGGACCTAGCCTCCCACCCATTCACTGGAGTGACTTGGTCAAAGTCAGCTGACCCTCCAGTTTCCCCCACATAAACCCCTGACCCAGAACAGGAAGGGAGTGGGCAATATGGCTCAATTGATCCCAGACTGCCTTGCTGTTCACTCAAGGTTGTCTTGGTTTCTTTACTCAGCTTACTCTGACTACTCTCTGCCTGATCCCTCCAGTATCCTGACACAGCCTGTTCCTAGACCCTGTACTTCAATTGACCTCCTGGCTTCCTGACCCAATTTGTCCATGAAATCTGTCTCATTCCTCCTGTCCCTGGTCAGCATCTTGATCCCCGAGCTACTCAATGGCTTTCAAAGCCTCTTAATAATTTGGTGGATCTGCAAGGTAGTCCTCAATGGAGTGTTGTGGAATCACATTGATGGTAATGTCTTTGACATTAGAATCTCAGTTCAGGACCTCTTGAAAATGCTCCTTCTACCATGTATGCTGCCTTTGAAGAGTGTTGTTCCATTCTTGGACCTCAGAGGGACAGTTCCTTGTGTACTTGGTGCACAGATAACTTTGGTTACACTGAAGAAACTACATGTGATGTCTACCAGCAAACTTTTGAATCTCTTTTACTCTGTCCTCCTACCAACTTGTTCTTTCACTTGCAAATTTTCCTGAGGGTCTTGGCTTCAGTGTGGTGATAAATGTATTTCTTTTGTTTGGAGTTGATGTCATTATGCTAAGCTTTGAAAGCTCTCCTTTTGCTGTCTATGAGAGCTGGAATCTACCTATCATTCTCATCAAACCAGTCTGTTGGCATTGGATTTAGGACTCAGGTGCCTTGTTCCTGTGGGACCCAAAACCCTCAGACCGATCATGACCTTTCCATTTAATAATAGACAAATTTATTGATACATAGTTATAACAGAAAATAATAATACAAGCAATTCAATAGCTACCACTCCTAGGGCCGTCATTAGAGTCAAGATACATCTGGCTAGGATGCAAGCTTCACTCTAAGGTTCTCTCTTGAATGTCAGATGTGAGCAGCCTGGAGGTTGGAGGCCAAGGCCCATCCCCCCACACCCTCCCCCCAGTGGGGTGGATGAGACAGGCTGGTGGTATGCCCTCTGTTTATGGTGGCCTCAGGTTCTCCTCTCAGGGACAAGGACCCTTTGTTGCTCTAAAGTCTCTGCCTTTGTATTCTTTTTCCTTCCTAATGACTCTTCATCCATAGCTATCGCTAACTGGTCTTTCTGTGGTTGTCATACTGTCCATGTTCTGTCCTGATAGCATATTCCTTTGTTTCACAAGCCCATCACATGCACAAATCCTAATTTGGGTTTTCTTGATTTTTTCCTAATTGGTCTGCTCCCCCAAAACTGTAACTCTCAGGCTCCCCACTCTTGGGCCCTGTAAGCTGGTGCCACCTTATCTCATGTTATGGAACAGTGTGGTACATGTCCATATCTTCCCAGGCTTGTGTATATCCATTGGCCTTGTTGTGTTAGACACCCTGTCTGCCTTAAAGGCCATGAGAACTGTGTGACTATGTGACCAGGCCTTTAGAAATTAATTAAGCCTTGCTGCCACCCTGGACCATTATTCGAATGCATATATATTTACGTACAAATCAATTCCCAAAAGCAAGCCTCTAAATACCATTTTCTAGCCATCATAGTCCTGATGTTTCTTTATGGAGAAGAAGCCTAGCAATTTTTTGCCACCTTACTTATATATTTCAGCTGGTATTCCATCAGGACCTCATGCTCAGGGGCAATCAGCATGAGTTCAAAGGCAGGTCCTGCCTGACCAACCTGATTGCCTTTTATGACCAAGTAACTAAATCCTTAGATGATGGTGTTGCCGTGGATGTAGTCTTTCTAGACTTTAAGAAGGCCTTTGACACTGTCTCTCATCCCATCCTCATCAATAAATTAAGTGACTGTGGCATTGATGCCTGCACAGTTGGATGGGTAAAAAATTGGCTGATGGGGCACACCCAGAGAGTAGTGGTGGATGGGTTGTACTCAACCTGGAAAGATGTGAGCAGTGGGGTCCCCCAGGGCTCAGTCCTTGGGCCCGTACTGTTTAACATCGTCATCAGCGACTTGAACGTGGGGGTGGGAAGTGCGCTGTCCAAGTTTGCTGATGACACTAAGATGTGGGGTGAGGTGGACACACTTGAAGGGAGAGAGAGGCTGCAACTTGATTTAGACAGACTACAAAAGTGGGCAGATGAGAATAGGATGGGGTTCAACGTAGACAAATGCAGGGTGCTGCACCTTGGGAGAAGGAATCC